TGTCCTTAACTATCAGCCTTTACAGTCCCTTATATTTTCCTGTGACAGCTTAGTTTCAACTATGACCTCAAGCAAATAACTACTAAATTTACATCTTAGACCCAGAACACTATTTCTGAATTTTAGTCCTTCATTTCCAATGCCTGGTTGATATCTCTACATCAATATCCCGCCTCAAATAAATGTGAGAAGACTCAACTTTCTTCCAAAATCATTGAAATGCCACCATTTCTGCTACCTAGGTTATTTTTTGTCCCAGTTACTTGAGTTCAAAATACTAGAGGACTATTTCCTAACTTAATAGTCTTCTCCCACATTCAATCATTTAAAAATAAATCCTGTCATCCTGGCCAACATGGCTCAGTGATTAGAATGTCGGCCAGTGCTCAAAGGGTCATGGGTTCGATTCCCAGTCTAGGGTACATACCTTGGTTGCAGGTTCAATCCCCAACTCCTGTTTGGGTGCAGGCAGGAGGCAACCAATCAAGGTGTTTCACATTGATTTCTCTCTCCCTCTCTCACTTGCTTCCCTCCCCCAAGCCCTTCCACTCTCTCTAAAAATAAATGGAAAACAATATCCTCAGGTGAGGAGTAACAAAAAATATATAAATAAATTTTGTCAATTCTTTGTAGCCTCTATATTTTGTGATGCAACGTAGACTGTAGGATTATAAAACAAAGACAGACTTGAAATTCGATCTTCATGACTGACTAGATATCTGATATTGCATAAGTTCCTAAAACTCACTATATTTCATTTTCTTCTGTGAAATAAGAGTAATACCTTTCCAAGTCAAGAATATAATAAACAATAAAGTATTTTTCAGAAAGTTCTTCCCCATCCACCCTAGGTATAGTAGCTCAAATCTCTACCCCTTTATACCTATGTCAATGCTTTATTTTATTTTCCTTAGAAATTAACATTATCTGTCATTCTATGGTTGTCTTCTTTGTGGGGTGAGTGTGGGAAGTTTGGCTTACACATTTATTTACTGTGACTTTCCATGAAACTTCATGAAACCAAGTGTTATTTACCACTGAGTCTAGAATAATCCTGCTCATGTATTAGATACTCAATACATATTTGGCGAAGAAATGAATGACTCAGATATGTAAAGTGCTCACCACATGGCTCTGACTGAGTGTCTGTCCTCTACGCTGTCTTCTTTCTTCTTTACCACTGGCTGGCTGCCTATATCAACCCTAATCACATCATTTTTGACCTACAGTAATTGATCTCTCTGCCCTCATCTGTTCCTTAACCCCTATTAATCTGCTAGTAAAATACTGGATTAACCTCCAATATCATTAACCTGTCAATATCATTTATTTATACAGCACCAAATATAGAATCGCTCTAATTTTCCTACTCAAATAACTTCAACAGATCTTCACTGCACTTATTAAGAAATGTAAACTCCTTGTTATGTCATTCAAGGTTCTTTTCAATACTCTCTACCCAACTTCCCATTAATTCTTTAAATGAAACAATAAGAATACGTAAATGAAATTCTTCCGTTAGGGCCCAGATTAAGACACCCAGATATACATAATGCCTCATTTTTTATGTCCCTAATTTTTAAAATTGTTATTACAAAATAATTAATATACTTAAAATTTTTTAAATATCCAGAATCACAATCACATACAGTTATAAAACTCCTCCAACTTCTTAATCTCCAGGCTTCCCATGTATAATCACTTTCAGATGTGATACCACTATTAAAATAATTTTCTGTTCTTCATCAATTTTCAAAGCATTTATATGTAGATTTATATATACCTAGAGAATATTATAAACACTGTTCTGCAACATACTTTTTTACTTCCTATACTTTGTACCTGATTTTTTCTAACACCTGAAGAGTAGCCACCTCTTTTGAACATATTTGTTCTAATATTCATATGCCATGAAACATTTTAAAAATATTTTTATCTATTCAGTTAAAGATTTTATAGCCTCTAGCTAGATAACATTTCCCAATAACTTCCTCCAACATTAAAAAAATCAACATAAAATGATGATATGAACATGTCTCTGTCACCAAATTCATGGTTTAGAAATTTAATATTTTTATACTGTTCATTAATAATCTAAATTGTCTAAAGCAGCAGTTCTCAACCTGTGGGTCGCGAGCCTTTTGGGGGTCAAATGACCCTTTCACAGGGGTCGCCTAAGACCATTGGAAAACACATTATTTCCCATGGTCTTAGAAACCGAGACACCGCTCCTCTATCCGTCTCCAGGCGGGTTTGCCCACATGCAGATACGCCCACACCCAACATGAGGGACTGTATTAAAGGGTCGTGGCATTAGGAAGGTTGAGAACCACTGGTCTAAAGCATTGAAAAAATAAACTATTTCTTAATGCAGTTATTCAAATATAAAAAGCCTAAAAAAAGTAAAGATCCACTTTCAGTTAAAAAAATATTTTGCAACAACCAAAAACTTCCAGAACTAATAAATCAGAATTGTAAGGTAGCAGGATATAAGATTAAATAACAATATCAATTGTGTTTATATATATTAGCAAAAAGTTACCCAAATATGAAATTAAGTAAATGATTCCATTCTCAGTATCAAATAATATACCTAAAAATTTTTAACAAAAGAAGTGTAAGACTTGTACAATGAAAACTCTAAAGCGCTGCTCAGAGAATTAAAGAACATCTAAATAAACTGAGAGACAGTTCATATTCAAGAATGAGAATACTCACTATTATAAAGTTGGCAATTCTCCACAAATTGATCTATAAATTCGATAGAATCTTTATTGCTAAACACAGCAGGATCACTGGTGAAATTGACAAGCTGATCCTAAAATTCATTTGTAAATTTAAGGGGCCCTGGAAAACGAAAGCAATATTGGCAGGGGGGGGGGGGACAAATTTGGAGGACTCAGACTTCCCTATTTCAAAATATAACTGCAAAGCTTCTGAAATGAAGACTGTGTGGCAATGTCATAAGAATAGATACATACACACCACTGGAATATAACTGAGAGTGCAGAAATAAACCCTTACATTTATGATCAATTTTTTTTTACAGATATCAAGACAATTCCCTGGGGAAAGAAAAATATTTTCAGTGAATGGGATTGGTATAATTGACTATCAACATGCAAAAAATAAACTTAGACTCTTACTTCATACTATGCATAAAAATTCATTCAAGAAAAACATATATCTGAACTTCTTAACTAGCCCTGGCTGGTGTGGCTCAGTTGGTTGGAGCATTGTCCTGTACACCAAAGGTATACGGTTAAAGCCATGGTCAGGGCACATACCCAGATTGCCAGTTCAATCCATAGTCGAGTGTATGCGAGAGGCATCCAATTAATGCTTCTCTCTCACATAATATCTCTCTCTCCCCTACCTTCCTCTCTCTAAAAATAAATAAAAACAAATTTCATAACTAAAATTAACATTCCAGAACTAAATATAGAAGAAAAATGTTGAGACCTGGAATTAGGCAGAGTTCATAGATACAAAACCAAAAGCATGATACATAAAAAACTATTCATAAAATACAACCTTATAAAACTCAAAATGTTTCTCCTTCAAAAGAGACCATTTAAAAAATGAAAAGAGCCCTGGCCAGTTTGGCTCAGCGGTTAGAGCGTCGGCCTGCGGTCCGGAGAGACCCGGGTTCGGTTCCCGCTAAGGGCACGTACTTCGGTTGCAGCTTGTCCCCGGCCCTGGTTGGTCGTGCGGGTGGCAGCCACTCGATGTGTCCCTTCACGTCGATGTTTCTCTCTCTCTCTCCCTTCCACTCTATCTGTACAAAAAATGGAAAAATATCCTCGGGTGAGGATAAAAAAAATAAATAAAATAAAAAATGAAAAGACAAGCTATGGAATGGGAGAAAATATTTGTGATTCATCTATCTGATAAAGAACTTATATACAGATATCAACACTTACAACTCAGTAAGACAAACAACCCACCTTAAAAGTGGGCAAAAAAAAATCTCTATAGACATTTCACAAAAAAAAAAAAAAAAAAATACATTAATAGTTAATAAGCAGATGAAAAGATGCTTACTATTATTATTCATTAGGGAAATAAAAACTAAAGCCACAATTGAAATACCACTTCTGACCTACTAGAATGTCTATAGTGCAAAAGATAGAACGTACTAAGAGTTTACAAAAACACAAAGAAACTAGAACACTCATGGACTGGTGGTTTCCACTTTTTAGAAAGCAATTCAGTTTCTTAACAAAATAGACATACAATTACCATACATGCCAGCAGTTGCACTCCTAAGAATCTACCCAAGAAAAAGAAAAATTTGGCATTCTTAGTAGCATTTTTCATAATACTAAAATTAGAAATAACCCAGATGTCCATCAATTGGTGAATGCACAAAGAAAATATAGTATATTTATATAATAAAATAATACTCAGCAATCAAAAGGAACAAACTACTGATTTATGCTATAAAAATGAGCATCAAACATATCAACCTCATTGAAAGATGGCAGATGAAAATGACTATGTATTGTATGATTCCTTTACATTAAATGTTTAGAAATAAAATTTATGGAGACAGAAAGCAGATCAATGTTACCTAGGACTGAAGGCTGAAGTAGGGATTAACTCTGAATAGGAAGGAAAGAAACTCTTGGAATGGTGAAAATTTCTAATACTGGATTTTGGAAACGGTTATATAGCACTGTTAATTTACTAAAGACATTGAATCATATATGTAAAATAAGGGACTTTTATAGTAATATCCTTAAAGGTATTAAAACATACTGAAGACATGTATATTTGTTTTTCTACCATTTGGTACTTTTCTGCTCAACAATTTTTATACAGTAAACATAAAAACTTTTTAAAAATAAATTTCAGATATAACACATTATTAATGTATTAACTAGTATATGACATCATATATAAATGATGCAAAATATTAGTTTTTAATTTAGGTATGGGCCTTAGAAGCTACATTTTCATTTCTATAAATTTATTCAAACCATAAAGAAACAGTTTACCTTTTTCAAAGCAGGGCAGAAATTAAAGAAAAGCTGGTGGTTATATGTTTTGAATCTTTCAGGAAAATGACAGTTCTGAATTATTTCTTCATCAGAAATCACATGATGATCCAATGCTTTGAGAGTCCGTATACTGTTGACAAGAACATGTCTATATCCTTTTTTAAGGCTTACTGGGCAATCAAACATAGTGAGGGCAATGAGGCTTGGACAGGCAGATAACATGCATACATTCTTTAACTTTGCAAATCCATTATCATGAAGATAGAGAAGTTTTAGGTTCCTTAATCTACTCCAAAATTTGTCATCTGGTAGACATTTTACCTGAAATATTATTAATAATAGTACTTTTAAAACAAATGTAAAATTTCTATCAATTTCATGGAAAATAAAATGCATTAAACATCTTCTAAAATTCAGTATTTTCGCAAATGGAAAATCTCTCACTAGTAAATAAAAACAGAATTTCTAATTGTTCAAATGATGACTAGTATAAAAATATAATACGTACATTAGTTATCTGAAATAAGCTACCTTTATTAGCATAATTTAATTAATAAAAATATATCATCCATTCAGTAATAATTTCTTTGTAATAGACTGACTCTTTAAACTTCTCTAAAATATTTTCTTTACATACCGAATTAAAAAGTCAAATCAAACAATATGATGACACCACACTAATTAAATTAAAGATAAAAATCATAGGATCCTCTCAACAGAGGCAGAAAAAAAACATTTGACAAATTCTACATCCACTTATGATAAAAAAAAAAAAAAACTCTCAAAAATGTGGATATAGAAGAAACATACCTCCATATAATAAAGGCCATATTTGATTAGCCCACAGTTAACCTCATACTCAATGGTAAAACGTTGAAAATGTCTCTAAGATCAGGAACAAGAAAAGAACGCCCACTCTTGCCTCTTTTATTCAACACAATACTGGAAATCATAGCCAGAGCAATTAGGCAAGAAAAATAAATAAAAGGCATCCAAATTAAAATGGAAGAAGTAAAACTGTAACCATTTGCAGATGGAATATTATACAGAAAAATCCTGAAAGACTCCCCCAAAATACTGTTAGAATTAATAAATTAATTCAATAAAGTTGCAGAAGAAACCTTACCCTTTGTAACAGCATGGATGGACCTGGACAGCATTACGCTAAGTGAAATAAGCCAGTGAGAGAAAGACAAATACCATATGATTTCACACATATGTGGAATTTAATGAACAAAATGAACTAACAAGCAAAATAGAGACAGACTCAAAGATAGAGTGCAGGCTGAGAGCTGTTGGGGTGCTGGGAAGTGGAGGGATTGAGCAAAAAAGAAAAAACTCATAGACATGGACAACAGTATGGTGGTTCCCAGGAGAAGGAGGAGAGGTGAAGGAGGGTATAGGGGAGATAAAAGGTGATATAAGGAGACTTGACTTGGGGTGGTGAACACACAATACAGTGTACAGATGATATGTTGTAGAATTGTGCACCTGAAACCTACATAATATTGTTAAACAGTGTCACCCCAATAAATTAAATGAAAAAAATAGTAATAGTGTTTAACTGGTTAAGGAAAAAAAAATCAGTACATAAAAATTTGTTGCATTTTCATACACTAATAGCAAACTGTCTGAAAGAGAAATTAAGAAAACTCCATTTAAAATTGCTCCAAAAATACATAGGGATATATATATATATATATATATATATATATATATATATATATATATATATATCTCCTCACCTGATATTTTTAAATTGATTATTATTTTTTTTTTTTAGAAAGAGTGGTAGGAGGGAGGGAAGGGGAGAAAGAGAGAAACATCAATGTGAAAGAGACACATCCATTGGTTGCCTCCCACATGTCCAGGATTGAACCTGCAACCCTACCATCCTTGTGCTGATGCTCTAACCATGGAGCCAAACTGGTCAGGGCAATACCTGGGAATATTTTAATCAAGAAGGTGAAATACCTGCACACTGAAAACTATGAGACATTAAAAAAAAATTGAAGACACAAATAAATGAAAATATATTCCCTAAGGATTGGGAAAATATTACTTAAAATATCCATACTACCCAAAGCATTCTACAGATTCCATGAAATTCCTATTAAAAAAAAATGCAATGGCATTTTTCACAGAAATAAAACAATCCTAAAATTCGAATGGAATCTGAATAATCAACAAAATTTTTAGTGAGAAGAATAAAACTGGAGGCAACATACTCCCTGATTTCAAACTATATTACAAAGAAATAGTAATCAAACAGTATGGTACAATCATAATACCAGACACATAGTTCAATGGAACAGAATAAAGAGCTCAGAAATAAATGCACAGATGTATAGTGAATTGATTTGCAAGAAAACAGCCAAGAATATACAATAGGGAAATACAGTCTCTTTAATAAATTATGTTGGGAAAACTGGACAAACACATGCCAAAGAATAAAAGGGGACCACTACCTTATACCATATACAAAAAAATAACTAAAAATGGATTACAGACTTGAAGGTAAGATCTGGAACCATAAAAATCCTAGCAAAAAACACAGACAGTGAGTTCTTTGACATCAGAACATCAGTCTTGGTAATATTAGTAATTTTTTTAAAAATCTGAAACCAAAAGACAACAAAAGCAAAAATAAACAAATGAGACTACATAAAAATTAAAAGCTTCTGCATAGCAAAAGAAACTATCACTAAAATAAAATAGCAACCAACCAAATGGAAGAAAATATTTGCAAATTATATATCTGATTTGTAACCATGTAGCGATGTTAAGTAGAATATTGTGGTGATCATTTCACAATATACACAAATATTGAATCATGTTCTATACTTGAAGTTAATATGTTATACATCAGTTATTATGTTATTTTTAAAAAAACTAAGGAGTCAAGAAGTATTCCTAATCCCGACTATGGATTTAAGAAGTAAAATGAACTAAATCACAGTTTATTTATATACTTTTAATTGAAAAATTTTGCTTATATATGAAATTTTGTGTTTCTACAGTATATATTTTTATTTAATTTTAAATTTTTGTTTACACTTTATAGAAAATACAATCTGGGAAACATAGTGTGCATAGATAGTGCTTATTAAATCTAATTTAATTTATATTAAAATATCTGAAATTGCTATTGCTTACCTGATTTCCGTGGAGATCAAGTTTGATTAATTTTATACAACTTTGAAGTGGACTAATATCTGTAATAAAATTGTTTGAGAAGATGCATACTCTAAGAGAGATACAAGATTGCAAATGTTCCATAGATTTTAAATGAAGACCACTGCACTTCACAAAAACAAAATCTTTCTGATCTTCTATTATGTTTTGATTATAGTGACTCCATTCTTCATGACTGAGGAGCTCTTTTATGATAGTTCCATGAAACATCTAGAAAAAATGGTAAATTCCTTTCAAACATCTTTGAAATTAAATTAAATTAAATCTTCCAAAATTAAATCTATATGTAAACAAAAACATTTGCTAATTGATAGTGAGAAAAAAAATGGGTAGAAACTAAGTTAAAATTTTTTAAATCTAATTCCCATAAAATCTATCTCAAAGTATCTGAAATGTCTAACATTTATGTGGTTACAACTCAAAGAGATATTATTGCCCTCACCAATGAACTAACCAGTAAAAGGAAGAATAACTTCCTTTTTCCTAAAATACTTAGAGAAAAGGAAATTCAATGAAACAGTTAATACAAAAACATCACCTCCTGGCAAGACAACTAAATTAAACAAAGAAAGAAAACTATACTTTAGCATACCTTATATAATAATTTTTGTTAAAAGATCTTTTAAATAAAGAAATCATTTGAATTATGAACTCCTAAATCAGGAGAGTAATATTTTTTTTGTGGGAAGGGCTTAAATGAAAATAAGGTGCAATGCAGGACTTCAACTTTTACAAATATTTATTTCCAAAAGAAACAATTAGAATCACATTATACAGTGTGGGGAGAGAGTGGGTTACAATTGTTCACATGGAAAATAATACAATAATGAATAAATAATAATATAAGAATAAACTCTGTTTTACATTCTCACTACTGCAAAACCTACTTTTGCCCCACCCTGTATTTGTGTTTAATTCTATTAGGCAATTAAGATTTAGAATTCTAATAGTTTCAAATTTGACTAAGTTTATCAAAAACTTCTAGATCAGAGCTTTTTGTATAATTTTATATAATATTTTCATATATGTGGAATTTCTCTTACTGTGGGTAATTTCAGCTTTCATAAAAGGCAGTCTCCCAGTGATAGTTTAGAAGATAATATATAGGCTCAAGTGGCAGATCTGAGAGGGTTTGGTTGAGATTAACCACCTTCTTTGCTGGAAAAATTTATTTCTATCATAAGGAGGTAAAATGGGTCAGCATAATCCAAATGAGAATAAATGTGAAAATCCAGACAAAGCCTTTCACTCTTTAAAAGACTGGCTACTTTCACCCTGCTGGTGTGGCACAGTAGATTGAGCATCGTCACATGTACCAAAAGGTTGCTGGTTAGATTCTTGGTCAGGGCACATGCCTGGGTTGCAGGCTCAATCCCCAGAAGGGGGTGTGCAGGAAGCAACCAATTGATGTGTTTATCTCTCTTTCCCTCTCCCTTCCTCTTTCTCTAAAACAATAAAAATATATACATGTTTTTAAAATAATAATAAATAATAAAAAATGGCTACTTTTTATATCCTAGCCAAGATCTAAAACTATAATCCTCAAACTCTAAATATCAATCACCAAAAAAATTAATAAAGAGGAAGATTTTCTGGATCCCATATCATATCTACATTATCAAAGTCTTTGGGCTGTGGGCCAAAAAATGTGTACTCCCTCCTACCCCCACTTCAGAGTTTCCCCTACTAACACATTGAATTACACATTGTGGTACAACTAAGAGATCCAATCTGAATGTACTATTATTTTTAACAAGTAAAGTTTCTTTAGTTCATATACTCGTAATAAAACATTTAGATGAGTACTCGATGTTTCTCTCTCTCTCTTCCTCCCTTTCTCCCTCCTGCTCTATCTGAAGAAAAATGCAAAAATGTCCTCAGGTGAGGATAAAAATATAAATATATCCATACTACTCAAAGCAATCTACAAATTCAATGCAATCTTTATCAAAAATTCCAAAGGCATTTTTCACAGAAAAAGAACAGACAGTCCTAATATTTATCTGGAGCCACAAAAGGGCCCAAATAGCCAAAGCAATTTTGAGGAAAAAGGACAAAGCTGGAAACATCATTAAATTACTTGAGAAAGATACAGTAATTAAAAGAGTATGGCTTTGGCATGAACAAACACATAGATCAGTAGAACAGCACAGATATCTTATAAATAAACCCATGCATATATGGTCAATTGATTTACAGCAAAGAGCCAAGAACACACAATGGGGAAAGAGCAGTCTCTTCAATATACGATGTTGGGAAAACTGTACAGAAACATGCAAAAGAACAAAATGGCCCAGTCAGTGAAGCTCAGTGGGTTGAGCATCATACTATGCACCAAGTGGCCATTGGTTTGATTCCTAGTCAGAGCACATGCCCATGTCGCAAGATCCCCAGTAGGGGGTATGCAGGATGCAGCCAATCAATGTTTCTCTCTCATCAATATTTCTATCTCTCTATCCCTCTCCCTTCTTCTCTCTCTAAAACTCAATAAAACATACATATACTTGAAAAAGAACAAAATGGACAACAATCTTACAGATTAAAGGCTTGATTACTAGACCGGAAATCACAAAACTGCTAAAAGAAAATATAGGCAGTAAATTCCCTTACAACTCCTTGACAATGGTACTTAAATCTGACAAAAAAAGCAAAGGCAACAAAACTAAAATTAAGCAAGTAGAAATACATAAAATTAAAAAGGATCTGCACAGCAAAGGAAACAATAACATGAAAACTCAACATACTGAATGGGAGAAAATATTTGCAAATCATATTTCTCATAAGCGGCTAATATCCAAAATATATAAAGAACATGTACAACTCAATGGCAAAAACAAACAATCCAATTAAAAATTGGGCAGAAAATGAGTAGGCATTTTTCCTAAGAAGATGTACAGATGGCCAACACATACAAGAGATGTTCAATTTCACTAATCAGCAGGGAAATGCCAATCAAAACCCCAACGAGATCTCATTTCACACCTGTTAAAATAGATATTGTCAAAAATACAAGAAATAACTAGTGTGCACTGTTGGCAGAAATATAAATTAGTGCAAAAACTATGAAATAGTATGGCATTTTCTCACAAAATTAAAAACAGAACTACCATATATGATCCAGCTATTCTACTTCTGGGTTGTTATCCTAAAACACTAACTTAGAAAGATATATACACCCTCATCTTCATTATTGTATTACTTAAAGTAGCCAAGATATGCACCCAACCTAAATTTCCACCAACAAATGAATAAAGAAAATGTGACACACATACACACACACACACACACACACACACACACACACACAGAAGACAGAGTTTGAGGGCATTATGTAAATGATATAAGTCAGACCCGGAAAGATAAATACAGTATGAGTTCATCTCTATGTGAAATCTTAAACAAACAAACAAAAATGAACTCACAGATATGGAAACAGATTGGTGATTGCCAGAGGTAGTGTAGGGCAGTGGATGAAAAGAGGAAAATGGATCAAAAGTACAAATTTCCAGGTGTAAAATAAGTTAATCGTTGGAGGTAATGTATAGCATGGTGACTATAGTTAATAATACTATACTGAAAATTTGAAAGTTTTTAAGAGAATAGATCTTAAAATTTCTCACCATGCATTGGCCAGTTTGGCTCAGTGGTTAGAGTGTCAGCCGCAGACTAGAGAGGGCCAGGTTTGGTTCCTGCTAAGGAAGGGCATGTGCCTCGGTGGCAATTTGTCCCCAGTCCCGGTTGGGGTCATGTAGGTAGCAGCTGGCTGCTGTGTCTCTCTCATAGATGTTTCTCTCTCTCTCTTTCTCCCTCTCTCCCTCCCGCTCTATCTGAAGATAAATAAGAAAATGTCCTCGGGTGAGGATAAAAAAAAAGTTCTCATTACAAGAAAAAATAATTTGAAATTATATGTGGTGACAGATTTGAACTAGACTTTTTATGATAATCATTTTTCAATATATGCAAATATCAATCACTATGTTGTACATCTGAAATTAATATAATGTTCTATCAGTTATATTGCAATGAAAATATATCATATAAAAATAACTATGATAGGAAAAAAGATAATGATACACAGGAATTCATGATAAATCCTAATGCCTTCAAACTTGGTATTAACTAAATATCGTAATATAATCAATGGAAGCATTTCATACTATGAAAGCATTAAAACGAAGATTATAAAACACACCAAAAAAGGACTTGATAAACTACCAAGTTATTATTTTTGTTTTAAAATATTTTTCACTGAATTTACAATGTAAAAGGGTGACTTTTTAAAAAATTTATTTATTTATTTTTGTTACAGATGTTTCTCCTTTTCCCCTTACTGGTTTCCCTCACCCTTCCCTCACTGCCCTGTCCCCAGCTTTGTTGTCCATGTCCATTGTTCATGGATACATGCTTATAAGTTCTGTGGTTTATCTCTCCCCCACCATCACCTCTTCTCTAGATTGTCAGTCTGTACACCACTTCCACATCTCTGGGACTATCCCATTCCTCAGATTGTTATGTTCATTACATTCCACAAATAAGTGAGATTATATGGTATTTGTCTTTCTCTGTTTGGCTTGTTTCGCTTAGTATTATAATACTTTCCAGGTTCTTCCATGTTGTCTCAAAGGATAAGAGATCCTTCTTACTTACAGCTGCATAGTACTCCATTGTGTATATGTACCACTGCTTTTTTATCCATTCGTCTACTGATGGACATTTGGGCTGTTTCCAGATCTTACCTATTGTAAATAGTGCTGCTACAAACATGGGGGTACATATATTCTTTCTGATTAGTGTTTCAGGCTTCTTAGTGTATATTCCTAGAAGTGGAATCACTGGGTCAAATGGCAATTCCATTTTTAATTTTTTGAGGTAACACCATATTGTTTTCCATAGTGGCTGCACCAGTCTGCATTCCCACCAGCAGAGTACTAGAGTCCCCTTTTCTCCACACCCTTGCCAACACCTGTTGTTTGATGATTTGTTGATGGTGGCCATTCTGACAGGTGTGAGGTGATACCTCATTGTTGTTTTAATTGGCATCTCTCTGATGATTAGTGATGTTGAGCATTTCTTCATATGTCTCTTAGCCATTTGTATATCCTGTTTGAAGAGGTGTCTATTTAGTTCCTCTGCCCATTTTTAATTGGGTTCTTTGTCTTCCTTTTGTTGAGTTGTATGAGTGCTCTATATATATAGGAAATTAACTCCTT